TTGGAGGCTCATATCCGGTAATTTCTGCCTGTGTGGGACTCGATCTGCCAAATTATAAAAAGGTTCCTACTCATGTCAAAATTGGATCCTCGAAACTGGCAGGTATTTGCTGAGTTCATGTTCTAGAAATATAGTCTCTAACACCTCTTTTGCATAAAAAAAGTGAAAGGTCTGATCTTACCCAAAACTTTAACTGGATATTTAGCGGGGGTGGAAAAAGTTCTAAGCTTGTGACTTACAACAGGAACGGTCATTCTGATATCTTTAAGCCAACATTGCAGAAGCCTTTGCACTAGCCAAAGTCAAAGGAAGACAAGCAGAAAAGGAAATGGCCATTTAATCTGAGATTGATGTTTAAATCTAAAAGTCCACTTTCAGAAAAGGAGTTGACATTTGTATAAAGACACAAATATGAAACTCTGTGCATTTAAGTTTGGATTTGTGCAGACTGCTAGTCCTTACAACAACAGGTTTGGCATTTTTATTCCTAAATGTGTGACAGAAAGGCTTGGGATCTTTTCAACAGCTGCGTGTATATTTTTCATAGAAAAAATATTCCAATATAGTTAATCATAAACTTCAGCTACTTTTTAAATTATAAAATCTCAGCTACTGTTTTATATTGTATTCAACAGGATAGACCAAGACCTGTATGATAGCAGAGATCTTGCAGACTCCTTCTATACAGCATAGCACTTGCTGTCACAGTCTGATGGAAGCTATCTTTGGCATGGGAGAAGGCATTAGACCCGGCCTTAAGCATGTTTAGGTTCAGGGCATCGGTTTTTAACTGAACGTTAAACTGAAGCATTGGTGTTGGTAGCTGCACGGCGCTGTCCTTAAAGCAATGACACACCTATCAGAAAAGATTAATGGTTTGAAGGCTCCTGGATAGATATGCCAGTTTCATGCTGCCTAGGACTGATTGATTTGTTCACAGAAATCACTCAGAATGATACCAAGTGGTTTGTTACGTATTGTTTGGAAAGGGTTTTTATTTGTCTCTATCTGGAGGAAATGCTATTGTTTCCAAAGGTTAGATGGAGGGGGTTTTTTTTGTTTTAGTTTGTGCACTTTCTATTTGGAGTTGTTCTCCCTCCTGCTATTCACTGTTTTGAATTTGGAGATAGATCTGCGTTCTCACCTACCGTTTAAACAGGCTTGACTGAGTAGCATGGCCTCTCCAAGAGGCATGACACATGGCAGTTCTTTGTTACAAGCTCAATGCATTCCTTGTAATTTGCAGATCTTGTGGTAGGAAGGTCAGTATTTCTGGCTAGACATATATTGTGCCTACTAAATACTGCCATAGTATTCCATTGTGGTGGGAACCTAGACAGTCGGTCACGCTTTGCATTAATGTTTAGGATCTTGAAAAATCAATGCAGTTTAAAATGATGGGGTGTCAGTGTCCAGTCATTAACTATTCCTATGAGTACTCTGGAAGTGCATGGAAATTTCTGAAGCCAAAGCAATGGCTGTGTCATTAATCTGGCTCCCAGCACACAGAAAGTACAATGGGCGGCCTGCTAACTTCTACCAGTAGTTCAGAATCGTGCAATTACACATATTACCAGGAAACAGGGACAGTTCACTTGCTCCTGAGATTGCTTCAGAATTTTTTTGTAATACAGGTACAAATGTCAAACTCCTTAAGGGAAGACCAGCTCCCGAGTGGGCTCTTGTGTCCGGCAAACGCCAGACCAAACTGACTGCATTTCTTTCGCTGTCTGAGGCCTGATGTAACAACCATTAGAATCAACAGAAAGAGTAATTGAGTTGAAAGACTGAATAAAGCATCTAAGGCCACAACCTGCACCACTGCAATCACCAGAAAATTTGTCATTGACCTCAATGACCGCAGGATGAAATGACCAGACTCTTGGTCAGCAGGTAGTTAAGTACACACGTATAATTTATTTCATTTGTAACCATTCATATGCCTAAGTACTTCTCTGATGTGGAACAAAAGCACACTGGTTGCCAGGCTGAGAAGAGAGGTAGCTTTCAGATCTGCCTCTTTCCTACCAACAGCAGTGTGATTTGGAGGAAAGAGTAAGAATAAGGAAATCCATTGTTTCCACCATTTTGGCAATGATAGGGAATTAGGAGAAATAAGGTAAGTTAAATGAAGAGGAAAAAAACTTGAGAACAACACTACAGAAAGAGGAGAGCTTCTATCCCTTTAGTTACTTCTCAGGGGACTTTAAAAAATATAAACATTGGCCTTTTAACTTCATTATGAGTCTGTATCTCAAATATAACCCAAGGCTTCCTAGGGCTTGCCTGTGCTGGAAAAATACATTATGTTAATTGATTAGCAGGTAATTCTTAATATAAGTCAATATAAACAAAGAGTACTATGTTTAACATTTGTTGTTGTTGACCCAAGGTAACCCAGGTGCTAAACATGACAGTTCTTGTCTGCACTAAGTGCTTCATATAGCCTTAATTAACATGTTCTAACACAATGTAATTTTGCAATACAGACAAATCCTTTGGGGCAGTTATTCTTTAAATTTAATTTTCTGTCTCACCTATCTTTAATTCACAAGACACGTGTTGCCTCCAACATCTCCCCTCTGCCACCCTTCAATCTTGGAACCGTTACTGATGAAAATCAGAGAGACTTAGTCGGCTTTTTCCTAAGTTTTTTAAACTTACAGATTGAATGTTCAATGACACACACCATGAGTTTATGTTCCTTGATAGTGCCAATGTTATAAAAATAAAGTTGATCTCATAATTCAGAAAGGGTTAGTTCAGCCCAGAAAAGTGTATCATAAAACACCAGACATTTGAAGTTTGTACAAAAATATTTCAAATCATAACAGAGATGCAGTTTTTCAGTCAAATCACACATATTCAAGCCTATTCCCAGCTGCAAGAAGACACTTTTCAGGCTTTTTCCACTTTCTCCATTTTTACTTTATACATAGAAAAGTTTTCTTTGTCCTTGTAAGAGAAAAAAAATGTGCAAAAAAAAAAAAGATATTATTAAACAATGAGGTTAAAAGAACAAGTTTATCTGGACTCCTGCAACAGTAACAACTTCATGTTGCACATCTTGTATTTTAGTGGAATATGTTGTTATTGTTTGTTACAAAGCAACTTAGTTAGCACTACTGAAGCCTTGAACAATCTTAAGTTGTTGAGAGGTGTTGCAAGCAAGAGCACTGTTTGGCTACATGTCACCCGTTTATTTCAGGGTCTTCAGAGGTTTGCTCAGAGGGAACTCACTGCAGGCTGAAGCCCAGAGTACTATGAACAGCGTGAGACATTAAGGTTTATATTAAGAGACTAATGGTGTGCAGTGTGGCTAAGTCAACTTTGCTGTGCTATAGCTTCATCCTCTGGAATTTCCTTTCGTTTTAGCCGTTCATCTCTTAGCACTGCATTAACGTTCATTGCTTCTGGGTGTTTTCCCCAAGAAGAAAAATAACGAGGGGCTGGGGACGGGCTCGGTAGCTGACCTAATTCACAAGCTTTCTGGGGCTTCAGCATTTTCAGCCCTCACGTATTTGGCTTGGAAACTGTACAAGACAGCTAAGGCTCTTCAGCCTAACGGTTCAGACTTGGCACGTTTAACTGACTCCTTCTTACCTCTCCGTGATCGAGGTGCGTGTCACTACCACCTCAACAGATTTTTTCTTTTCCCCCCTTTTTACTGTGTTCGAAACTCAGCGCGTTTGTCCCAGGCTCCCCCCGCGCCCAGGCAGGCGGTACCGGCCGGGCACAGGGCCTGTCCTGCGAGGGCCTCCGGCGGGGACCGCGGGGGCAGCAGCTCCGCTCCAACCAACTGC